GTTACCACATGCAGTCCTCAAGAAGTAATGAGCTTTCCTTTGTCCCTTTCTTTTGAGTCCTAGTCTACCACCAGTTCTGTTCATTTTCCTGCAAAAGTATCATAAGGTTTGGTAGTAGGTACCCAAATGAACTTGAGGCCTTTCACGTTAGTAACATTGATTGGCTTCTTAGGAATCCAATGAAACTTTCCCTTTGGAATACCAATCCTCTTATAGTAACAAGACATGGAAATATGCCCAATAGTGTTACAGTTAAAACACGTAATAAAAAAAAGTTTACTAAGATCAGAAAACTTCTTAGCATTTATTTTATTGCTTTTACTGGTATACCTTATGCCTTGTTTATTGATTACTCTTCTTTGTGATGCTATAATAACTTCTAAATTAGATTTACCAAGAGTAAATTTAGAAAGTGTGTTAGTCAAGTAATATATCTTTTCTACATGAGAAGGGAAATCTGTACAATCTTTGACAATAGTTTTAACTTCAGAATTAGCAGTATCAACAGATTGTAAAGTAGTAGTAAGATCATTTTTGAAGCATGCATTTTCTTCAACAAGGTTATTAATTCTATATTCAAAATCCCTTTTTTCACTATTCAATCGGTTAACCTTGTATTGGAGTTTTATGGCTTCTACATGTAGTTCTTGAAAGACATCCAGTAGTTGATCATATTTGACTTGTAATGGTTCGTCATTGAAATTGCTTTCATTGTTTCCAGAATTTACTGAACCTGCCATAAGTCACAAATTTGTCTCTTCCTCCAGACTTTGATCATCCTCATCACTAGAAGAGCAACCTGAGTCACATTCCTCCCAAGCAATGTAGGCTTTTCTTTGCTTATTTTTGCTCCTGTCTTGATTGTATCTTTCATCATTTTTCTACTTATGTTTCAAGGCAGGGCATTTAGGTTTAATATGACCTTCTTTGCCACATTCATAACAGGTGGGAGTAACATTTTTGCTTCTTCTTTTGATTCCCTTGGCATTACTTGCAAAATCAGATACATTTTTTATGGATTTCATAAATCTAGAGAATTTCTTTACCATCATATTCAATACTTATTTTCCTGGTAAATCTCCATTTGAATCTACATCAGTATTATGCTTTGTTGGAGCGTTCTTGCTAGAAATCTTGAGGGCAATTGAATGCTTTTGTTCAGTTTCTTCTTCTTCCCTCAATCTTTCCAATTCCAACTCATGTTCCCTGAGCTTACCAAACAATGTTGTCGTGTTCATAGTGGTCAAATCTCTAGATTCATAAATGGCAGTCACTTTTGGTTGACAACTTCTATTCAGACTCTTTAAGATCTTGATGTTGATCTCCTCTTTATCAAAAGTCTTTCCGAGAGCCACAAGGTGATTAACAATGTGTGTGAACCTCTTCTGGACATCATAGATGTTTTCTCCAGGCTTCGTCCAAAACATTTCGTACTCCTGGACAAGAGCGTTGTTTTTGGCCCTCTTCACTTCATCAGTGCGCTCATGAGTCACTTCTAGAACATCCCACATATTCTTGGTAGTTAAGCAAGTGGATATCCTGAAAACCCCCCAATGGTTAGAGTAGAAGAAATAATATTTTTAGCTTTAACATCATAGTGTGTCCTTCTACTTTCATCAAGGTTCCACTCAAAGAAGTTATTTGTCACAGTCTTTCCATCAACAAACTTTGTTGGCTCATAGGGACCATTTATCATTGCATTCCAAACACCTTTATCCACTGATTTCAAGAAAATTTTCATTCTAATTTTCCAAACGGATAATTTTCTCCCGCAAACATAGGGGGTCTGTTTGTAGAAGCACCTTCTCCAAAAGTTTGATAAACAGATGCCATCAGGATCAAAATAATCCATTACACTGAAACCATAATCGATTAGAATTTGAGCAAAATTCAAATTCTCAACTCTCGTGCCAATTGTAGAAAAAGTTAGGTATAGTTTCTCAACTAAGACGGGGGGTGATTTGGTTTTGATTAATAAAAATTGTTCTTTTAAAAACCTTTTCCAAATCTTTTATCTTTTCTTGGAATGCAAGCAAATAAAGAATGTAATGAAATGAAAGAGATAAATGATAGAGAAAAAAACACCACAATTTATATTAGTTCGACCTCAATGCCTACATCCAGTCTCATTTCAATCAACCTGAGATTGAAAGTAAATCCACTATATAGATCGAGTTTTACGACAACCAATACATAGACACCCTCTCAATGTATCCTCCTTTCTAACTCCAAATCAACTATAGTAAAAATACGAGAAAAACAATCCTCTTTTTGCAACCCCTTTGAGATATCACACTCAAAGTAACAAGAACTCCAAAGTTCTCTTCCTACCAAGTAGCAACAGAGAAACCACAATCTTACAAGATTGCAAAGTGATATGATCTTCAGGTAGTACACCTATCAGTGCAGATTGATGAATTTTTTATAGCTCTTTCAATTCTTCAAAGAATCTTGATGAATAATGTCCAAACGTATGAATTCTTAATTCTTGGAGAATTCCTGACGCTCCTGTAATAAATCTCAACAAACTATATCAAATATGAAAGTTATGATTCAATTAAGTTGTTGAAAACATAAAGCATTGCGTCTATGTAATCAATTAAGCAATTAACAATGTTGTAACAAAAATACATTTAAAACATTTAACAGATTAAACATTGCATGTAATCGATTAAGTAATTAATCTAAGTCAAAACATTTAAAAATATGACCGTTAAGGTAGTTAAGAGTTATCAAGAAAGCAAGTTTTCAATTAATGCGGATTTTAACCGATTAAGAAAATAGTGTAAACGGTTAAGTAAAACACTTAAGCAAATTTGAAAACTTTTTCAATCCAAAACTTATTTATGCACTCAATAAACAAGTCTAGGCAAATACACAAGTTTTAATCGATTATACATATAATGTAATTGGTTAAAACTTGCAGTTTTGTCACTGTTAAACGAATACTGATATATGATGAATATAACACATTACATAAACTCTATAATCGATTAATTCATATAGATATGCAATGTGCATAGAGTTTTAACATTCTAAACAATGAATATGCATACCACAAATGTAAACTCATGTATAAACACAATGAATATGCATAACAAATAGTTCAAACACAATCAAATATATAATCATCAGCTTTACTAAATATGTGCAAGAAACTATTAAAAACATTTTTGTTGTTGTCATCATCAAAAACACATATGAGTTTATCTTTCACATAGCTCCCCCTATCCACAATCTCCCCTTTTTTTGATGATGCACAACAAGAAACTAATTTTCCAGATACTTCTCCCCTTTTGGGCATTAGCAAAAAAAATTTCAAGTAAGAGGAAAATAAGTGCTTAAAGAAATACATCATAAGAATTTCTTACAAACCATTTGGAGAATGTGATGTTCCCCCTATCATAATGTAGTAGCACTTTTAAACAGTTTGAGCATTAGATTGATACCAGAACATAGGTTGATGTCTTTGATGTCTTCTTGTCAGAACAAACTTGCTTTATAGAGCGTTATCAAAAATAAATTAGACTGTTCATTTGGCATGAATTTTGGTGAACGAAACATTTTGCTAATGTCTTCTTCCCAACATTCATTTTTGACTTGAATTGGATGGAACAGATGAAATATCCTTTATAAAGTAGAATAAATATCTACACAACAGATATGTCCTTTTTCCTATTTAACTTATTGCTTTAAAATTTTGAGCATTTAATGACATTCAATGTTTGTTCAAAACAATAAGATTTTTATTTTTTCTACCATTTTGACTGTTTGAGTTTTCTAGTAATAATACTAAATGTTTCATGGAAGTTTCATCGCTGAATAAGAGTGTGTTTAACATGCGGTATCATTTGGAGGTTTTTTTAGTTAGTATTTGTTTGATAAATACTTATTATATTCAAGAGTACATTTAGTGGAATATCTTTTATCATGTGAAAAATGTAATGATTAAATCTATATTTTTCATACCAAAATTATTCATCTTATTGTGTTAATATTTTTTCTAAATTAACTTTACACCTAATGGTTTTTAGTTTTTTTTTGTTAGATTTCATTCGTTAACCTCAAGGCATATGACCCTTATAATTTAAGATTGTTTTTAAAAATTTATAAGTCAAAAAACATCGGTTAATAATAAAAATAGTAAATATTGTGTTTTTAAATAGTTTTTTTTTTCTATTTTTAATCTATCAAAATCATTTTTGGTGAGGAGAAGAATTAAAAGTTCTAGAAAAAAAGAAAAATGTAAATTACTACATTTTTTATATTTACATTAAAAAAATGTAGAAGTACACTATCTCTAGTTTTATTAAGCTTTTCTTCTATTAGAGATATTTATACCATTCATTGTATTTTTTATTTTTTTAACTTGTTACCTAATAAGAAATTCTTTATTTTATTTTCTCTCCTAGAAAATATTTTAAAAACAATAATTCATTATTAATTTTTATTTATTTTGTTAGCATCAATTAGATTGTTGATGGGATATTTTTTATTTTTTTTCTTCTTATATATATAAAAATATATTGTGTTTCTTTTATATCTATACAATACCTTTTTGTTTTATTTTTTTTATAACTATAGTCTATCTGAAAGTTAATATAATTGAAATTACATAATGTCTGGGCATATTTGTTCATGAAAAGAAATTAACATTAAAAAAATTAATTTCAATTTCTTTAGAGACTAATGAAAAATTTATGATAATGTAGAAAGACTTTGATCATAATAAACATAAAGCCCACGAAAGGCCTACCCAATACCAACCCTGCCCAAACTTCTTAATAGAAAACTTCCAGTCTCCAATCGCGAAGAGGGCGCGTGGGTAAACCTTCCGGGTACTGGACGGCACCAGCCAAACGGGAACCCACTAAATCGGAGAGTATCTAGCACGCGCAGCTTAACAACCTGTGATAACTTTAAAAATTCTTGCACACAAAACTCCCCGCCATTAAAGTCCCTTACTCTCTCACGCTCACGTGAGTCCCACGCAAGATATCACAAGATATCACGTTGTTCCCATTGGTGCGTTTAATTCACGTTGAGAGAACGCGAATGAGTCCACGTCCACAAGTTTCGGTGTTATAATGCTTCTTGGGCACGGCTCTTTGTTGCATCCCAAACGCTTAGCCTGGTCCACGCTTCCCCACGAACGCACCGTTGTCGTACACCTGTGACGATTCGATAAAACGACTAGCGTTTCAAGAAAGAGAGAGAAAGACGAAGCGTTTTAGAGAGAGAAACAGAGAAAGAGAGAGTTCACGAGCGTGTGTATGTATGTGTGCGAGATCTGATCGAAAACAAGGTAATTGAGCTTTGAAACCCTACTACTGATTTTTCTCTACGATTTGTTTGTCAAGATTCTGATTCTTCCTTTCTGAGGAGGTTCTGAGTGAGGCGTGAAAATTTTCATGGTGGAAGGAAGCCCTAAGAATTTCTAGGGTTTGGTTTCTTGTTTCTTGTTTTTTTGTGTGTGATTTTTTGATTTGTTGGTGCGTAAAACCCTAGGATTTCGGGGATTTGGGATTGGTGTTAGGATTAGGGTTTTGGATTTATGGCTTCGGGGCCAGTGGTTGGAGGGGATGACGAAGCCAAAGAGAAACAGAGATTTGGAGAGAGGAAGGTTTACACGAGGAGGAAAGTGCTCAAAGGTCAGAAGAAAGACCCTAACGCCCCAAACACTGTTGCTTCCACCACTGAAAATAACGCCACAACCACTTCTACCGTTACCAATGACAGTATCAATAACAGAACTGTCCAGAAGAGCAAAGTTGGTGAGTCTGGTGCGGCCAAGAGCAATAGTGAGAACGTTGTGGTCCAGCCTCCTGAACAGTCTGCCGTGGAGAAGGATACTGCTCAGCCTCAAGTGAGTTCAAGATTAGAGGATGGGATTTTGGGGCAGAACCCATTGGAGGAGGATCAGATGCAAGTGAGTTTAAGACTGGAGAATGGGAATACAGTTCAAACACCACTGGAGGATCAGGATATGACACTGACAGAAGGGAGTTCAAGAAAGGAGGATGAAAATATAACTCAGCCTCATTTGGAGGATGGGAATATGGTTCTGTCCAATGGGAATTTGAGGTTGGAGGATGGGAATATGGCCCAGCCTCAGGCGAATTCAAGATTGGAGGATGTGAACATGTCCCAAATTCAAGAGGGTGGGAATATGGCTCAGCCTCAAGTGAGTTCAAAGTCAGAGGATGGGAGTGCAGCTCTGCCACACACGGGTTCAAGGTCAGAAGATGGAAACACAGCCCAGCCACGAGTGTCACTGGATGGGAATATGACTCAACCACAATTGAGTTCAAGATCAGAGGATGGGAATATAGCTCAGATACAAGTGAGTCCTAGGTCAGAAGATGTCAACATGGTTCAGCCGCAAGAGAGTTCAAAATTGGAGGGTAAAAAGTCCCCTCAGCCAGAAGTGAATTCAAGAATGGAGGATGGGAATTCACCCCAGCTGCAAGTGAACTCAAGATTGGTGGGTGGGGTTTTGCCTCTGTCACATGTAAATTCAAGATGGGATGGGGATACAGTTCAACCACCAGTAGTGCTGGTCTCTGATGACTTGTATAATCGGCAGCGTGATGAACCTTCTAGCCTCAATGTTGAGCAGGAGGATGATGGACCTTTAAGCCCCAGCCCTCATCAGGAGGCAGTTCCTAGCACCCGAGGCCTTCCATTGGGGAATGGGGTTGTGGAGCCTCGACAGAGGGATCGAATCAAGATAAGCTTGTCCTCAAAATCAAAACAGCAAATACGGGAGATTCGGTGGAAGCTTGAAAGTGAGCTTGATGTTGTAAGAAGTTTGGTTAATAGGATTGAAGTGAAGCAGAGGCAAGTTGGTGGATATCGCAACTCAAATGTCCTGGTTGCTAGTGGGATGGATAATGTGGGTGGAGCAAAGCGTGCTCACTCAGAGGTGGCATCTGTTGGTGTTCCAAGGGAACCTGCCAGTTCTAGGCCTTTGCACCAGTTAAGTTTGTCAATGTTGGAGAATAGTCAGGGGATTGGTGAAACTGTTGAGAAGGAGAAGAGGACACCTAAAGCAAACCAATTTTATCGTAACTCAGAGTTCTTGCTTGCGAAAGATAAATTTCCCCCAGCAGAGAGTAACAAGAAATCAAAGTTGAATTGGAAGAAACAAGGTGGTGGAGAAATGCGACATGGTTTTGGGATGGGATCTAAGTTTTTCAAAAGCTGTAGTTCACTGCTTGAAAAATTGATGAAACACAAGCATGGTTGGGTGTTTAATGCTCCTGTTGATGTTGAGGGTCTTGGTTTGCATGATTATTTTACTATCATCACTCATCCAATGGACTTGGGAACTGTAAAGTCAAGGCTGAACAAGAATTGGTACAAATCACCAAAGGAATTTGCAGAGGATGTGAGACTCACTTTTAATAATGCCATGACATATAATCCAAAGGGACAAGATGTTCATATAATGGCAGAGCAGTTAGCAAAGATATTTGAAGACAGATGGGCTATAATCGAGTCAGATTATAATCGGGAGATGAGATGTGGGTTTGATTATGGAGCAGCTCCCCCTGCACCTTCACCTTTATCAAGAAGGGTTTCTGCTTTTACACCACCACCACATCTTGATATGAGACGGATTTTGGATAGATCAGAATCAATGACACAGACTCCAAAACCTATGAGCTTTACTCCGTCAAGTAGAACCCCAGCCCCAAAAAAACCAAAAGCAAAAGATCCTTACAAAAGAGACATGACATTTGAGGAAAAACAAAAACTAAGCACTAACCTTCAGAGTTTACCTTCAGAGAAGCTTGATGCTATTGTACAAATCATTAAGAAGAGAAATTTAGCACTTGATCAACATGATGATGAAATTGAAGTAGACATTGATAATGTGGATGCTGAAACACTCTGGGAGCTTGATAGATTTGTGACCAACTATAAGAAAAGTTTGAGCAAAAATAAAAGGAAGGCTGAACTTGCACGAGCTCGAGCAGAAGCCTTGCAGCAGAATGCCATCCAGAAGGTAAATAATACAATTTTTACTTCTATATTGCCTTGCTCACTTTGGGGAGCAATTATTCTAAGTGTTTGTTTTTTATTTTTTGCCTTCTGCAGAGCCAGGCACCAGCTATAGAAGAGATTCCAAAGGAAATACAAACAGGTGAACTTCTTAGAATCAGGTTTGTTGTTTTTGGATTGTTGATCTCCTCTGTTTTTTAATTGAAATCATTGACTCTGTGTACAGATGAAAGGAATGTTCCCCAATCATTGCCTGTGCAAGGGGGAAATCAAGCTGACAACGGGAGTAGGTCAAGCAGTTCAAGTAGTTCCAGCAGTGATTCTGGATCTTCTTCAAGTGGTACATTGATCAAGATTTATCGTCTATCTTACACGTTATTTGTTCATATACATGCTTTGGATTGTTGAAATCAAATGCGTCTTTCTCATTTGTATGTGGTGTTGCAGATTCTGATAGTGACAGTTCCTCAGCGTCTGGATCTGATGCAGGGTCACAAGGAACCTAAATATGCTGCTGGTAGAGTTACAGCCCTTTTATCTTAATATTGTGCTCTATGGCTTCGTATTGTTCAGTAATCATTTGCTCATGTGATATTATCTGCACTTTTTCCTTTCCATTCTAAAGAGAGATGTATGTATTGTCAAGCTGTTTTTTAAAGAAAATGAGCGATGATTTTGTTGCTTATGAATGATCACTGTTTGTTTGTCATAACGTGTTGTTGAGTACGCTTTGTATGTGTTGCATTTGATTCAGTCATGGGATTAGTTTGGATGTTTGTCTTTATTGTTGGAAGTTGGTGGCCATCTGGTAGTGTTCATAATCAGTTAGTTTTTGTCAGAATAAGATTTTAAGCTATTGTAGTTTTGAATCTGAATTTGACAACCTCACTGTACAAGTTTTTATAATATGTAGTTGGTTCTGAAAAATGCTGTTTCTTGTTTTCTATTAGTTACCATCCGTGTATATTCGATATGCTTCACTATGAGGATCTTTTTATTTAACCTTGATCGGTGCAGCTTTAAATTGAACTCCTTAAGGTTTTTTCCGAATCTCGAAACTTGATTTTTAAAATTGGAGTTAAAATGCTTACCATGGAGCATAGTGCCTCAGACGTCTACTGAAATAATATCTCCTGTCTTCTGAGCCCCAAAAGAAATAGCATAGCTTCAGGAACATTTCCAGTTTTTCGTGTGTGCACTTCACAGCATGATTTTTTATGATGCATTCTTGAATTTCGTACACCCGTGCTCCTGCACATTCGATTACCTGCCTGAAGCTTATTTTTCTTAATATGCTTGTTGAAGTCATTAATAATAGAAGTTTTGGGATTGATCTTTGCTAACTATTTTTCCCATTATCTTTTTTTTTACGTTGCAGATCTCAGAATTTTAGAGTAGAGAGTGTCTTGATGCCCGCCTAGTTTGGTTTTTGAAGCTTCTAGATTATTAGTTTAACTGTTGGATTGTAGATGAAGCATTGTGAAGGCCAGCGGTGATCCTACTGATGCAGCATGGGATATTTTCTTCCCTTTCGTTTGAACTTGCTCAACTTGTGCTTGGCCTTCTCTTCTAGTTGGCATTCTCGACACGAATTCTTGTATAATATTTGGTAGAATGTGATGATAGTTAGGTAGTTAATTTTCCGTAGCATGTGTACATTGCTAACTACTGCTGCGCAAGCATTGACTTCCATTGATAACATGTTTTTTAATTATGTGCTAGCAGATTCAAGATCTTGGTGCCATACGAAGATAATATGTAATTCCTTGTTCTTGAAAATCTTATTCCGTGTAGTTTGTAACCGTTAAAATGCAAGGGAGGATCTTATTCCATTGATAACAGTTTTTTTCTACCTTTCACTCCCTGCATTTCATCATCTTAGAAATCTCGTAATTAATTTCAATATATTAATCGATGATGAAAAAAAAATGTTTAAAATGAAAATGTATCAACTAATCATAAGAGGTAGTATTTTTTTTTTGTTTTATTTTAAAAAGGATGCCTAAGCATAAGATTGCAGGCCTACGGGTTTGTTGTTGGGTCTTCTATCTTTACTTTTCTCTGCCTCCTATCAATTGTTGGTGTTGTTGTCTGGATTGTTGGGTACAACAATAATACTCTTCTATTTCTCTCCCTCTCTTTTCATGGTTGTCCTATTGGCATTTAGTTTGTTTTTGGTACATACACACCTGCACTCTGGATGTGATCTGATTGTGAGAAAAACAAAATTTTGGTTATATATGCAGGTTGTTCCTGACATGCATATGCCCCTGCTACTTCTGCCTGACCATAATAGTTCTTGATTCTCAGATCATGGACTGGTTCAGCTCTCAGATCCCTTGCTGATCTGTTCTTTGATTCTTTCTTTCTTCTGGCAAGAAAAAAAAAAAGACTTGATTCTCTTGGTGTTCGTTGATGTATCCTTTGTCTTCTTGCCTGTTTCTGTGGTTTCAGGAGTGGGGATTTCATGTCTGTCGGTGATATTCGTGAGTGATCTTTTGGTTTCTTTGTCGAATTCGTAGCAGTGTTGGTTTCACTGAAAATTTAACAACACAGTATGCTTCTTAAAGCATTGAAATTAGAGAGATAACATATTGTTATCAGGGTAAGACAAGATAAATTTTGATATTTTAAATTCAGTTCTCACGGCTGTATTCATTACTCAACTTTTTTATACTTTTTAGTTTTGTTGTTTATTTAATAATATTGCAATTAATAAAACTAAAAGATAATTTTTATTAAAAATAGTTAATAAGATAATAATCATACCATTTAATGAATTAAATAATTAAACATCAAATTAATTAAAAAAATTACACAACAAAAACTTGAAAAATATAAAAAGTTTAAAAACTTTATACATTAAAAAAAATAATTAATATTCAATTAATAATATTTAAAAATAAAAAATCGATACTTGATTAAGTCTTCTTTAAGTAGAAGTGCTGAAAAAACTAAACTTTCCATCTGTTAAGTTTTCTTGCTTGCTTGTTGTCCGAATATACCATACCAACCTTGTTTATACGAAAGTTCGTGATTTGTAGTTTCAAATATACGAACCTTGTTAACATATCATAGTAAAATCCATCCCAACATTTACAGAGAAGGACAATGATAATATCATAAAAGTATTTTCTACACTGACCAAGAATTATATGTGGATTCACAGCTACATTAAATCATATTTAGAACCTGCATAACGGTCTTATTTTGTTTTCAACTACCGTATTGTTCATCAATTATGAGATTTTACTTTACTTACATGTAATCTAAAGCATTTAATAAAATAATAAATGATTAATGTAAAATTTTAAATTTGATAATTGAACAACATCACTGAGATATCCAATGAATGAGATCTTCAATGAAGGTGTGAATTGTGTGCAATAAAAATAACGAAGAATCATACCAACTTTAATAAAAAAATAAACAAAAAATTAAAGAAGGTTTTTGCAGTAATCAGCTTTACTCTTCCTCTGTTAACACATTTTTCTTCTTCTGTCATTCAACCCTAATGATATAATACCCTTTTTCTCCTTTATGTGCAGCTTCATAGACAATGTTTTCTGACTCAAACAGTTTAATATTTCTACATTATCTAAAAACAAAAAGCATTTTTCAGATTAAATTAATATATTTAACAATTCAGGAATGTATTCCAAATACTTAATGAGATTTAATAATCCAAAAAGATTCTAAATAATTAATGAGTATGACATTACACAAGTAGATAGATACATAGATAATATACATAAACATTGCAAGATCACATGCATTATTACTGCTACATAGAATCACAAAAAGACATTCTTATTTATTTACAACTCCACAAAACGTGGAACTTTTAGACAAGTATTACTGCATGATAGATATTCACATACAAACCAACTTTATTTAAAAAGTATACATACTGATTTTAATTTCTTGATGGATTTTCTTCCCTAATCCAACTTCATTATGAACATATCCATGCAACTCAAAGTAACTAATCAAGTTTCATGTCTGCATGTTCATATTGAGGTGATTTTGGTTTTTCCTCTTTTCCCTCTCCTGATACCATTATTCTAGTAGTTTCTGCTATTTCTGCTATGGTTTCACCTATGGAATTCAACACTCCTCCTCCTCCTTCACTTTGATGTGCTGGTTTCACCATGTTATCTCCAATCTCAGCCACAGTTTCGTTTGCCTGATTCTGAGTTTCTCTTTTGACCTCCAAAGCTCTCTCTGCCTCCTCTTTCTTCCTTGCAGTGTACTCCTTTGCATTCTCACCAGTAGCAGCAGCTAAACCAGTAGCAGTATCCATTGACTTAGCGGCAAGCTCATAAACCTTCTGGCCCAAATACTCAACTGCTTCCTCAACAATGGTAGTTGCAGCCTTGGTTCCCTCCACAGTCATCTCAGTAGAGTACTGAGCAGCACTCCAACCTGTTACTATAGCCCTATCCCTCAAATCTGCAGCCACTTTAGAAGCAATCTTTCCAATTTCCACTGCTTCCTCTCCAACATTCTCATCATTGATGCCTCCACCAGTTTTGTGCACTGTATCTCCTTCAAGATTTCCTTCTTGACGACCCTTCTCTCTTGTGAAGTCTTTTGCCTGCTTGTTTCTCTCTTTGGAAGCTTCTATTTCTGCTTGTTTTGCTCTCTTTTTTTCATATTTCTCCTTAGCAGCTTCAACTGCATTCATTGCTTTTTCTTGAACTTGGCCTCTGTACTTGGAAATGTCTTCAAGACTAGGCTGCTCGTTTTGTTCTCTTCCTCTTCCTTGTTCCTCACCATCACCCTGTCAAAACCAACAATCTCAAAAAGGTTAAAGTTACAGATGAAGATGCTTTGTTTCCCTGCAACTTTTATCACTTTTAAAATGCCCCGTTGAAGGGCTAACACTACAGAAACTCAAGTGAGAAACACCCCTTTAGAGAGAGATTAATGAACGCTAGCCATGATCAGCAGGTGATAATATTCAAAACTATATAGTAACTTTTTCTTCATTGGAAAGTACTAAGTGATATAGGCACAGTTATCATACAAAGAAAGCATATTAAAGGCAATAGTTTTAAATTTTACCTCTTTGGTTTCACCTTTCTCTCTTCTTTGAGCTTCCTCTGTTGTTTTTTCCATTGCTCTTCCTTTCTCTGCCTCTACTTTTCCTCTTGGAGGAATGTTTCTTATTTTCTCCTCTTCGTTCCACACTTTTCCCTCCACCACTCTTGTTCTTCCCTCGAGTTTATCTTTTTCTCCTAAACTCGTTTCAAACTTTTCATACTTTCCACCACCACTTTCTCTTCCTTCTTCAACCTCTTTCTCTTTAACTATATTCTTAGGCCTAGCTCTATCAGAAACCAACTCTCTCTCTTTCTCACCAAACGACTTCTTTCCATATGTCTCAACGTCATCATCTCTCTCTTTCACCTTCTTGCTGGGATCTCTGCGAGGCATTTGCTGAGATGCCATTGTTTTTTGAATTTGGTTTGTGTTGTGGAGTCCAGTGAGCTGCTTATAAGAAGAAGGGTGGTGTCGGTTTGAAGAGGTGGTGGTGGATGAGGTTTGCATGGAAGGGACAAGTGGTACAACGTACGGTTTGTAGGTATTACAACGTGTGAGAGTGTTGCGGTAACATGCTTAGTACCTGAAGCAGCAGGTGTTATGTTTTGTTTCCTCAGCCGCTTTGGGTTTCAGACACGTGGCATATTGGGAAATGTCTCCTATTTACTAGGACATTTCTTTCCACTCTGTATCTATACTTTTTCCCACATATACAAAATTAAGGTTTACTATTTTTTATTATAACCTTCTTTAGATTTTTATTTTTAATCTTAGTCAGAATTTTAACCTATTTCAATATCTTCTGTATTTATTTTTTGTTGATATCGGTCATAGTTGATAGAAGGACATTTGTTATAGAATAATCCCATACAATGTTTAAATCCATGATATCATAGACTGAGTTAATATGATGCAAATGTTCGTGGAAGAACCAGCTGAATCAATCATTTGATTGTGAAGTTAACAAATCTGAACTAATTTGGGAACATTTAATTGGATTGTAATGTCAACTATAATGTTATATTTTGGTGGAAAATCTCTCAAAATTAATTAACTTATTATGATAATGTATTTTCTAATATTAATTCATGTTCTATTATAGTTTGTAAGAAAAGTAGTTTTCATTTATCAACGAATTTTAGTTATTATAAAAAGAATTAATTAGGCAAATTTGTAATAATAATACATATTTATTGATAATTTAAATTTTTAACATTATTATTAGTAATAGAAAGTTTATTAATAAAATAATCGTCAATCAATTTTATTAATAAATAAAAAAAATATTTATTAAAATTATCAATTATTATAATTTTGTTAGTGATATTTATTAATAAATATTTAATGTTAGTTGTCGAGACATATTCTAGTTATCACTAAAATTTATTTATAAATATCACAATTAAAACTTTCTTTTTCTATTTCTTCTTCATTTTCTTTTTTTCATTTTCCTCTCTTTCTCACCTTTCTCTTTTTTTATTATTGTCATCGTTCTAACATTTCGTTGTTGTCACATATGCCACATTCAGCTTCTTCTCTTTCTCCTTTTTCTCTTCCTCTTCCTCTTCCTCTTTCTCTTTCCATCATTATTGATGAATTATGTCGATCGTGTTACATTCGCGTTGTGGTAAGACCATAGCAGTAAAGTAGTTGATTTTTTTTCTTTTGGTGCTTGACGAGTTGTTTCAACTTTATTTGCAATTGTTTTGTTTAGGACCGATAGGAGATAAAGTTGGTTTTCCACGAAAAAAATTAAACAAATTTGGAACATATCATGTGGTTGTTTAAAATTTTGTGTGAATTTTGGTTTGATCCCTCTATGCGATATTTCTTACAGTTACGCGAATAAGGGGTTGATATTGACATTTGTTGATAGATGACATAAGAGACAAACATTTTCCATGTCTCTGTTGGTGAGATGACCATACTAGATGACATGTTTGCGTTGTTACATTTGTCTATAGTTGAACAATCTTGTCTAAATTAAGTCCTAGAACTTTGAAGCAACTTAAGAAACTCTCATGGACCTATTGGGCGTAGATCGCACAAGGGCTACATTTGAGTTGAGACAATGTCTTGGTCCCCAAGTAAGACTTAGCTAGTTGAGAGACTTATATAAAGACTGTTGTGAGAATTAGTAATGGAGGTATGTTGCATGGGCCTACTTATTGCATCTTGTTAGATGCACAATTTTTACGGATAAGAGCGTCACATTCATCCATGTATCATACTTGTTGCTTTTTAGAGACATGTAGTCATGTGACAACTATGCTTAGAGAGTTATTACACTCGTCCACTTGTATGAACAACTTGGAGATGCTAGCTTTGTAGAGACAAAGCAATTAGCTAGATATATGACTTTTTCACAAGTACACATATATTTTGCACTTTGATTTCCTTTATTGTTTCATTTTTCAAAAACATTTTTACTTTTTTGTAGAGTTAAATATATGAGCACTTCCTTGAAATGGGAAGGAAGAACATGTTGCCTAGTTATAATGGAGGTATCGATCTCACACTTTGTGATGAAGAGGCATATTTCTAGCTTACATGAGGCAAAGACACAGTTGAATACCTTGACATATGATGGGTGATATAGACCCATATGAATCACATCGGATTAGTCGTTCACATCTATAATTAGTATGTTCTCTAGCTTGATTATAATGGGTGTGATTGTACACCGACATCTAGTTAAACACATGTTAAGGCAATTTAGGTATAAGCAGTCTATCACGCAGTCGCCAAATGCTATTCCAAAGACGCCTTTATCTTATTATTTTGCAGGATGGTGGCATTATGAATTGTATCCCAACACGAACAAATGTCTCCACACTACTTCCAAATACTTTCTTCAGGCTTTAGTAAGCAGACTCAACCGTGATACAAAACAATACCATAAAACATCTAATAAAAAACAAAATAAAATAATATTAAAACATACATGTTTGATGTTGTGTTTCTTAAATGCATTACTTGGTTTGTCCACACCTTTACAAAGTATTTCTTATATGGAATGATCCAAGAGTCAATGACATATTCAAAGAATAAAGAGTATAAAATATAAGCATGATGAAGGCAATCAACACAATCAATATACATTGACTCATTTTCACAATTCATGGCATTTCCCATGCTTCCATGACAAAATCCCATGCCTCAATATAATCGATTAACATTTTGTACTTGGCTTGCACATTTTTCTGAACACGAAAGCAACATAGAAGATGATAACACTTAGGGAACACTAGCCATAACATTTATCAAAGCTAGGTTTCTATCGCTAATAATGACTTGTGGATCATCCTCAAATGTAAAGAACAATCCTCTTAGCCTTTCTAGAGCTCAAGTGAAATTATGTTTTCGTTCACTTGATAAGAATACAAAGGCAGTTGAGAAAGTCAATTTGTTGATGTGACCCCAACTATCTCAAGCCATGATAACCAATATTTGTTGGTTTTGTATGTGTTATTCATCAAGAAAATAGTATTAAAAGCATTCAACAATTTCACTACATCAATGTGTCAAAAAATGGTCACTTACTACCTCAAATTTGTCGACACATCTACTTCAATGGATGTATTTATCATGTTCTAACCTCATCAACAACTGTTGTAATTTAGTTCTCGAACCTCTTAATTATCGTTTGTAAGTATATCTTGCATTATATACTTGCTTGCTTATTTTCACACTACACTTATTATTTTCTTTCAGAGTAAGACGAATGTTTGTAGGCTTCACTTGACTCTTAGTCATGTCAACAAATAATTATTGTTCAATGTAATTTAACTTTCGAACAAGAGTGACCAACTAAAGTTTGTGCTAAATCATAATTATGATATTCACACATTACCTTTAGTACTCATCCTTCTTCATTATAAATTCATTTGCCTCTTAATTTCAAAAGACACTCGCATTTTCTTGTGTCATATATACTAGGATGAACATCAGATTTGTATTTCCAATACTTTCCATCTATTTCACATCCTAACAATATAAATGTCTTTCTCCCAAGTTTATTATTAGCTTTATTAAATCTTATAATGAGAACAAAAAAAAAAAACAAGATCAAAAGCAATCCCTCGAACTCATTCAATTAACTTATCATGTGTGAAAAACATTTAATCATTTATAAAATTATTTGTATAATCTTCCTAGCATATTTCATTTATAAAAGAAGAAAAATTTTACATGAAAAGTACCTGTGAATCTATCAAACTTAAAGGATAATTCTTCATCTTAGATTATAATCACCTTTAACATAACATTATTATTGAATATCTCACTACTTCAATAATAATAATAATAATTGAAGATCAAAAAATTATTCAAACAAAACATGTAAAACAATTTTTTTAAAAAAAACAAAAAAACAATTATTATTTTTTCAAAAAAATTAATACTAAAATTTTGAAATCTAAAAAAAATTGTTCATTGAATTTTGATATCCGAGAAACACAGTAAAATTTGATACCATTTTAGAAATGGACTTTAAGCCTAACTCAACTCCATAAAATCAGCTTGTAAGGTGAGGTTTGCACTCCACTTATATATTATAATTTGATCTTATATTTAAGGCCTTGTTCACTTGAGTGGATTTGAGGGAGAGTAATTGAGGGGATTTGAGAGGATTTGAAAATAAATTTTTTTGTTGATTATTTGAGTGAATTTGGAGGTAAATGAGATTGGATTTGGAAGTAAATTTTTTTAATCTGTCACGTCAATCAAATCCTACACTAATTCTCACAAACTTTACTTCCAAATTCATTCTCACTTACCTCCAAATTGACTCAAATAAACAACAAAAAAATTTATTTTCAAATCCTCTCAAATCCCCTCAATTATTCTCCCTCAAATCCCCTCAAGTGAACAAGGCCTAAGCGATGTGAGACTTCGAACTTAAAAAAGCTTCAAATTAATTTCTTAGTCATTTCAGTTATCATGGTTATGGGTGGGACCAATTAATTTTATTCATCACCGTGAAAAGTCCATAATAACTACAACTAAGAAATCAATAAATTATAAAACTAACACTTTTTCTTAAAAAATTAAATAACAATCGAAAATATTAATTCTGCATATAAATTTAATAGTAATAAATATTTGTATATATATGTATATATATTCCTAAATTTTAAATTTTAATACAGTACAAATATTTCAATTAACCTTCTTTTTTGTCTAGTATCGTCCTGTGAGGAAATGAAAAAGTAGACTTGTGAATGTGTTATGGCTTGGATCCACAAATTTAAGTGGAAATTGTGAAAAAGTTTGAAGGCCACAATACACACTTGCACCATTGAGGTTTAATTTGAATTAGGTGTTTCTTCCTCCATCCACGTTTTTTCTCTCCCCATTTACTCCCTCTGATAAATTTGAAGCCTAATGCGCCGTTCCTTCTCTCTCTT